TAGGTCAATTTGGAAACGGGACGGGTTAGAAATTATCCAACCCAGCCCGTCTAAAATAAATAGTTATTGCATTGACCGTGCACCACGACCCAAAAACGATGTCGTTTTGCATTTTTTTTACTCTAGCCTTTTCGACCGTAGCTTTTCCGTCTCACTTAACTACAAAGTTACCAAAAACAGTGAACTCGGGTAGTATCTCCTACTGACTCCGTAACCATTGCATCGCACAAATAACAAAAACCATGCCTGGAAATAAAATATATAAACAATATTACAAAATTATTGTTTTAAACAAAGCAATAATACAAAAAATACATATAATACAAAATTTAAAAAAACAACAATTAAAAACAAAACAATAATTAAAAACCATGGAAGATCAATTACAAACAAAAATAATACGAAAAAAATACTTTTCTAAAAAAATTAAACCTTTTTGCATCAGCTTAGTCGGAGCAACTACGTACAACTTGTTTGGAGTGGCATCGACCCGGACAAATCCATAATAAAGAATATAAATGAAAAAATAATAACTTTTTTTTTTCACAGAGATAGAAATAGATAGAAGAGAAATTGTACCTTTAATGTCTTGAAATATGCATATTAGTTTGAGCAGCTATTGAACCACAATGATTAAATTGGTGATGAGAGAGTCACCTGCAAAGAAAAAGAGGGATGCAATGTAAAATGAAGACTTTAATTTTTTTAGTCATCAATTCATTATATTTATAGGTGAAAAATATGAGAATTATAAATTTGTAAGATTTTCCAAAAGGAAATTGTATTTATTTATTTAAGGTATGGCCATAATTAATTTATTATATTGATATTCATAATCAAATCATTATATTAATATTCCTAATTAATTTTATTCCAAATTAATATAGATTGGTATTGATTTTATTTAATTTCCATTTGACAATTACTTACCAAATAAGTTTTATTCACTTATATAATGATTTGATTATATATATATAGATTATACAATGACATTTTAGCCTTTATTCACTTCTTCCCTTTCAATTTTCAATCATTCTATTCCTTCCTACCAAAATTATGTAATTTAAATTCTAACTTTATTCTTTTCCCACGGAATTACAATTCATTTCCCCCTAATTCTCTCCTTCCAACCAAACACTCTATAATCTACTAATCTAGGGTTTATCCGTTTTTTTTTTTTTTCCTGAAAACTTGAAGCACTAGGGTTTTTTTTTCTTGAAAATCCTAATTATATATCAATTGTGAAATTTTCAATTTGCATGTCCAATTGTTATGTTGAAAGCCGAAAACATAAATAAACACACACCACGGTGTGACCCATCACCATATGCACAAGGAAAAGCTGAAAGTTTGTAAGAAAATAAAAGAAAAAGGATCAAATAGGCCCTCAAACTTTTCATAAGGAGTCAATTAGGCCCTCCTACTTTCTAAAGTTGCAATTAGACACATGAACTCTTAATCTCGGTGCAAGGAGACCCACTGACCGGATAACCACTTACAATCCCAGGTAAAATGCTCTGTAGATGCTGACTAGGCACAATCTTTACACATTTGACTTGCCACTCAGCAAAAAAAAAAAAAAAAAAAAAAATTAAAGTCACCATTCTCTGTCATGAACCATCATCATTGAGGCCACGCTCCATAGCCAAAAAGAGCGTGTGGACGTAGAATGGTGAGTTGGACATATCATCATCTGGAACGCTAAAGCCAAAAGCCTACCATTAAACAACGTAACTCCATGGAAGCAAACGGAGACTCAAATCCCCCACCTTTTTGGACACAGTCCCCCACCTTCTTCCGTCGTCACCGACCGTCTCCGATCTTCAATCCCGTGGCGCTCATCCAATCATCCCCATTTTGGCATTGCTCGTCGTGTTCTTTCTGCTTCCTCCATTTCTCTCTCACGCTTCCCACTTGCTTAAACCCAACGCCGTGAAGAAGAGCTGGGATTCGATTTACTAAATATCATTTTTTTTTTTTTTTGTTGAGTGACAAGCCAAATGTGTAAAGATTATGCCTAGTCAGCGTCTACAGAGCATTTTACCTGGGATTGCAGGTGGTTATCTGGTTAGTGGGTCTCCTTGCACCGAGATTAAGAGTTCGTGTGTCTAATTGTAACTTTAGAAAGTAAGAGGGTCTAATTGACTCCTTATGAAAAGTTTGAGGGCCTATTTAACAATTTTTCCGAAAATAAATAATAGATAAAGATATTACCACACCAAAATGTTATCTAAACAAACACCAAATCAAACTAATGACCTACAAGTATTATTTGTAAATTACTATACTAAATGGATATTAATTCATAGCAATACTATTTTAAACATTCTCAAAATAATTTACAATATATATATATATATATATATATATATATAGAGAGAGAGAGAGTTAATACCCAAAATCGTCCTCGACTATAGTGGTTTTTCTCAATTTCGTCCTAAACGACTTTAGTGACCTAATATCGTCCCAGACTTTTGTGTTTCGCTCAATTTAGTCCTCCATTTGTTATTCCGTCAAATTGGTGTTAAATTAAGGGACAATTCAGTAATGTCAATATTGATCTCGCTTTACTTTCAACTTGTGAAGTGTGAAATTCCTCTTTCTTGTACGAATTACACCCAGAATTATTCCCGGACCTGCAAATCAAATTTTATATTCGCAGTTTTAGGAGTAATTCTGGGAGTAATTTGTAAAGAAAAGGGATTTCGCAATTCACATGTCTATGAGTAAAGAGATGCCAATATTAAAATTACTGAATTGTCTATTTATTTAACACCAAATGGACAGAATAACAAATGAGGGACTAAATTGAGCAAAAACACAAAAGTCTGGGACTAAATTGAGCGAAACACAAAAGTCTGGGACGATATTAGGTCACCAAAGTCGTTTAGGATGAAATTGAGAAAAACCACTATAGTCGAAGACGATTTTGGGTATTAACTCTATATATATATATATATATATATATATATATATATATATATATATATATATATATATATGTGTGTGTGTGTGTGTGTGTGTGTGTGTGTGTGTGTGTGTGTGTGTGTGTGTGTGTGTGTGTGTGTGTGTGTGTGTGTTAACTCTCTCTCTCTCTCTCTCTCTCTCTCTCTATATATATATATATATATATATATATATATATATGTGTGTGTGTGTGTGTGTGTGTGTGTGTGTGTGTGTGTGTGTGTGTGTGTGTGTGTGTGTGTGTGTGTGTGTGTGTGTGTGTGTGTGTGTGTGTGTGTGTGTGTGTGTGTGTGTGTGTGTGTGTGTGTGTGTGTGTGTGTGTGTGTGTGTGTGTGTGTGTGTGTGTGTGTGTGTGTAAAATCCTCCTATTTTATTTTCCCGCTCAAAATTTTGTAGTCAAATTAATTAAATATTTTATATTTTATTGGTCAAATAATTAATAAAGCTTATTTGGTAAGCAAATGTAAAATGGAAATTTAGTAATATCAATATTATGAATTAATTACGAATAAGATTAATTAGGAATATTAATATAATAAATTGATTAGGAATATCAATATAATGAATTGATTAGAGCAATACCTTAAATAAATAAATACACTTTCTTTTTGAAAAATCTTACAATTTTATAATTATCATATTTTTCACCTATAAATATAATGAGTTGATGACTAAAAAAATTATAAGTCTTCATTTTACATTGCATCCCTCTTTTCCCTTGCAGGTGACTCTCTCATTCCTTTCTTCCACGGCCCGTTAAAAAAGCATATTACAACTTTATAATTGCTTAAAATAATGTTACGATTTCAATACAAATGTAATTTTAATATGCTATTCCATACTAGAATTGCCAACACAAATGTAATTTTAAATCATCAATATTTCTTCTCATATTACTATTTAATTATTTGAAATTGTAAACATATAGGTCAGAAAACTTTTGGGAGTTAGCCAAGTTTGTGGCTATTGAAACTATTGGAAATTGCAATAAGTATTGGGCCAATGACACCTTTAAACATAAAGTTACCATAAGAGTCACTGATGCCAGTGGGAATGCACCGTTACCGTTATGGGATCGTGAATGTACTGAGTTATTTGGGAAATCTGCATCTGAATTAAAAAAAATCTTATGTGGAAGTTAGAAAGTCTTCTTCTGACCACTTTTGGTATCCGGAAAAACCTTTGTTGCTATTTCTGACCACTTTTTACTTTCGACTTGATATAAGATCACTTTCAGGTGGTCGGAAATTCCATAATTTCCAGTAATGCGAGGCGGATGGCAGACATCGGTGGGACGGAGGTAGTTCGACGAAAAAGAGAAGAGAAGATGGAAGGTGGTATTACAAATAACCGACGTCGTAAACTGTTTATTTATTTATTTTTAAAATTGTTCAACGATACGACGTCGGTTTTCACACAAACCGGCGTCGTATCTGGTGAGATTTTTTAAATACGTACACATTAAAACGACGACATTTAAAGAGTTTAATATTTTAAATATCTTAATATACGACATCGATTGTATTTAAAATTGACGTTATATACTCACTGCTTTAAAAAATTACTATATACGACGTCGATTTTATTACAAACCGACGTCGTATATCACATATTAAATTAAAATATTAAAAAAATCGAGTTTAACATACGGCGTAGTATGTCTTTTTTTTTTTTTAGTGTTATACAACCTCGGTTTATTCAAATATGATTTTTCGCTAAATATTCTAACCTTTGGAAGAATGATTTTTCGCTATAAATTAACCGATGTCACATTATATTTGGTATAAAATTAACTTGATAGTACGTGTTACTGAGTTAGTGTAGTAAAGTCGGACGAATTGGAATTAATTAAATATTAATTTGTTAACCTAAATAATGGTAGAAGAATATTTGAATTGATATTGCCGGCGCGCCCAATCGAACAGACATGTCTATCTATAAGAAGGGTCAAACGTTACGTCCCTTTCCACCAAAAACCCATTTTCTTATTTAAACTCCCAAAAATCTTCTTCCAAATCGTGGGGAGCAATAACTCAAACATCATCATAGGACTACACCTTAATTCCCTCTACTTTCGCCATTTCTTCATTGTTACGTTCCTCAGTGTTCATCACTGTCAGGCTTTATTTTGCAGAAAAAGTAGGAATAATAATGGGGCAGAATGGAGGGAAATATGAGTATGAGGCGATTCTGGCAAGAAGTTTTAGCAGGCAAGACAGAAAGACAATGGGGTGGTGTGCTACACTCGCCATCTTCATCGTTATTTTCACATTTTGCATTTTCTTCAAGCCTTACATATCTGATGATGATGAAAATGCTGCATTTCCTTCCCCACTTTGTAAGTCCTTTTGCATTTCCATGTAGTTTGATATGAAACACCTTTATCGAGTAGGCGTAAACTCCTAAAATTATTCATTTATGCCCTTTCCTGTTACAATAATAGTACGGTTGGTTCACGGAATAGGCCTGATGAGATGGAATGATATTTTTGAGAATAAACTTATTATTCTGTTTTTTGTTAATGCTTTTTTATTCAGGGAAATATTATATCCGGGCTAGGGGAATAACTATTATATAGAATTGCTAATATTAGGTTATTCTTGAGTTGTCAAAATAACCTAAATTTGTTATTTTCTATTTATGCTTTTGTTCTTCTTATCACAATATACTTCTCTATCACTAGTACATTACACATCTTTTTTAGGTTCATACTTTTTATCACAAGTATTTTCTTTTATATATATATATATATATATATATATATATATATATATATATATATATATATATATATATATATATATATATATAGCATTCATTTTGCAAACCAAACATGTTAAATATAGCATTCATTCCCATAATTTGCCTATCACTAATCATTCTTAAATAAAATGATTTCAACAATCCCGTAAAATCATATAATCACATACATAATCAAGGCCATCATCAATAATTATAATTATAAATATAATTGTCATCTTATCCTTTCCTGGGTTGATATATTTGGTGTATCATAACTGTAACGTGATTTATATGGATAGTTTAATTTCTCTAAATAACTAATAATGCAGTCATGCCAAAAAAAATAATCAATAAACTTTTTAAAATGGTAAGTATATAAAATGATTATGTATTACATATTGCAGCAAATTTAGAAGTACCAATGGGGGATAGTTTCAACTTGCAAGCCACTGTTCATGATGTCATAAACATTGCCCCACAACCATGTAAGTTATAAATTATATTATTAAGGAAAATTATAATTTTTATCCATAAGTTATAACGTAATTATAGTAAGTATTCACTGTTAGTTCTTGATCGTGTTCACTTTTAGTCAGTAAATTAACTTTGCAAATTTTGTTATTTTTCTAATTTGATTAGTTTCAGATCCGAAAATAAAAGAAGTGAAGCCGGTTTGCGAAGTGAACCGGAGAAGATCGGACATCTGCGACGCAAACGGCGGCGACATAAGAGTTGTCGGAAGCTTGTCCACCATTTTTGTTGTTTCAAAGGTTCATAGTAACATAATGTCGTGGAACATAAGGCCCTATGCTCGAAAAGGCGACGAAGCCGCAATGGGGGGTGTCCGAAACTTCACCGTCAAGCAACTCCACCCTTCTCATCAACAAACCCCAGCTTGCACCAGAAACCATAATGTTCCGGCGGTTCTTTTCTCCGCCGGAGGATACTCCGGCAACGTCTTCCACGACTTCTCCGATCTTCTCATCCCCCTGTACCTAACGTCCCGGGAGTTCGCCGGAGAAGTACAGTTTCTGGTCACCGACGTCAAAAGGCCGAGTTGGACGGAGAAGTTTAAGGAAGCGTTGCAGAGGTTGTCGAGATACGAAATCATAGACCTCGGAGAAAAAGACGGCGAAAACGCGGTCCTTTGTTTTCCAAGAATCATCGTCGGGTTAAAAGCCAACAAGGAGTTCAGCATCAACCCCTCTTCAGATCACATTTCCATGAAAAACTTCACGGCGTTCTTGAGAAACGCTTACGACCTGAAAAGGGATAATATTATCGCAAACGAGAAACCGCAGCCGCGGCTACTCGTGATAGCGAGGAACAAAACCAGGCGGCTGTTGAACGCGGGCGAGGTTTCCGCCATGGCGGAAAACCTAGGCTTTAAGGTTGTCGTACAAGAAACAGACAGGAACATGACCAAAGTGTCGAAACTGGTGAACGGGTTCGACATTATGGTGGGGGTGCACGGGGCGGGGCTAACGAACATGGTGTTCTTGCCGGAAAACGCAGTGGTGGTGCAAATCGTGGGGTTGGGGATGGATTCGATAGCCAAGATGGACTATGAAGAGCCTTCATTAGACATGGGATTGAGGTACTTAAGTTACAAGATTGGTTTGAATGAGAGTTCTCTAAAGGATGAATATCCAGTGGGACATGAAGTGTTGAGCAACTCCAGCGCCATTCGAGTGAGAGGATGGAAGGCTTTTAGTGCAGTGTACTTGAATGGGCAGGATGTGAAAGTAGATGTGAATAGGTTTAGAGGCACACTGTTGAAAGCTCTACAGCTTTTGCATGCTAGCTAGCTAATTAATATTTATGTATACTCCCAAATTCTAGTCTCGTTCAATTTACTCATTAGTGTACCAAATAATAAAAGATAAAGTTATTTTCATCATGTTACGTCAAGTCTATCCGCACCCAATGGATTTTCTGCATCTCTGTCCTTACGGGTTTTAAAATACTTGCACAATATAGATAATGGGTGCGGGTATGGGGGAATTTTATAAACCCGTACTTATATATATTGTTATTAGTATTCATTTATAAGTTTATGTACATTTTATAGTTAAAAATGCATAATGAATTAAATTTCTTAGTTGTTTGTTAATGAAAATTGAATACGAACAATACAAATGAGTAAACACTTAATACAATTTTTACTACCAAAACAATTTTCGTTCCAATTAAGGATTAACTTCATTGGCTCTTATTAAATTTTAGATTAGAGTTATGTTCAAACTTATAAAAAAAATATACATGATAAATCATTTAAATCTAATAAAAATTGGCTCTTATTAAATTTTAGATTAACTTCATTGGCTCTTATTAAATTTTAGATTAGAGTTATGTTCAAACTTATTAAATGATTTAATGTAATAAATAATTAGAGTTACGAGTTGGGTATTACCCGCACCCGCAAAATTGTTGTTAGGGCGGGTGCGAGTGCGGGGGCGGAGGATATATCCCCGCACCCACCCCGCCCCATTACCATCCTACATGTGAGTTTCCAGTCAAGGTAAAAAAGTGTTTGGTAAAATAGTGGTGTTAGCTTAGCAGGATTATAATGTTATATTACACATGTCTAAAATAAACAATGACATATATGTGCTCCTTTAATTAATATATACTCTGCTTATTATTATTTCAATTACAAGGTATGGTTAAATACCATTATAAAATGGGATATATAGTAAATTTTATTTGTTTTAAGAAATTTTATAAGAAAAGGAATATATTGATATAAAAATAATTTAATTTATGTTGATAAAAATTAATAATGAAGATTAAATTTTAATATTTCAATTTATTCATACAATACATATCTATATTAACATTTTAGATTTTAATAAATTAAATTTATATTACAATACATATGAATTAATTTATTCATATACATAAATAAAATTTCATTGATGTGTGTAGTAAAGTGATATTATTAATAAAAATATTACTAATTTACTCTTTATTGTTAATTTGTTTATTAATATAAGTGTGTGTAGTAAGAGCATCCATTTCAATTTGAGTTTTTTCTTCAATTTTTTGTGGGCACATCATCCACCTCATCATCCACTATCTCACTCAATTACAAAAATCTTTCTCCCCATCCGTTTTAGTTTTTTCTCAGTTTTTTATGTACCCATCATTTTATCCACTATATTTAAATTATTTCTTTATCTATTTTATTTATATATTTATAATTATAATAAAAAAAAATAGTGAAACATACTCGAATTGAAAATAAAAATTCGTACTGAAATTGTAAAACAAAATAATAAAAAGTTGGCTACAAACTTTACTTTAATTTATAATTGTAATCACAAATCATTAAAATAAACATACGTATACCTAATTAATTAAAATGATAATTAAAACTAATTACTTAAAAAATTAAACTACAAAGCAGTTTAATATAAATCAATTACAAAACGGTTTAATATAATCCAAGGAAAATTGGATTGTGAATTTTGATGATTAGAATTGCCTTTTTTCATTATGATATGCAAAAGAAATTAATTTGAGATGTAGAAATTGAGAGAATGATAATGAATTGAGAGTATGATGAAATGTGAAAAAATTGTAGAGATAAATGAAATTTATAGATAAATTTTTTTAAATAGCCGTTGCCCGGCAACGATTGGAAATATGGCCGTTGCATACACGCGCCAAAATCAATTGAATTGAGAGTGGCGGGTACGCGCCCGCTAGGTGGGTGGTGAGATGCAATTGCGTCTCATTGCCTTAGTTTTTTTTTTATTTTTTTATTTTTTAATTTGTCTGACAAAAAACAAATGTTGCAGGGGGAATTTTTACCACATCAGTAAAAAATCAAAACATTGTTTTTGCACTGTTTCAAAAACTGAGAAAAAGAAAACATTACTAAGGATGCTCTAAAGTGATAGTAGGTATTTTTTTTCTTTCTATATAATAGGTTGTTTGTTAAAATCTCATGTAATTATTTATTTTGGATATATTGGTATAAAAATAATTAAAAATATTTATAAAATAATAATCCGTATATGAGTTGATATGTAGGTATTGTGATAGGACAGAGATAAATGATGTCTATGCCATGTCAACTAATATTAAAAGTTGAGAATGTTTGTTTCATGATCAAGAAGTAAGTCATGCAATAGTGACAAATGTTTTGCTTATTATTCTTTCTTATTTGTTAGTAGTCAGTAGACTACTACTTAAATATAAAAACAAAAAACAAAAAACAAAAAACAAAAAACAAAAAAACAAAAAAACAAAAAACAAAAAACAAAAAACAAAAAAACAAAAGGAAACAAAGGTCTTCTACTCAGAGTGGTCGCCAGCTGGCGGCCACTCTGATGCGCCAGCAGGCGCGTGTTCCAGCGAAGTGTGCTACACTTGTGCACTTCTTACTTTTTTTTTTTTTTTTTTTTATTCTCCTGTAAAAACTTTTGGTAGGAGTAAAATCTTGGAGAAAACTAATATCCACATTAGTCAAAAATCAAATGTTAGTTTTTTAGTTCTGAAATATCTGATAAAAAATCACAAGTGTGCTTGCTCTAATACTATTAATGGTTTTATCGAGATCGAGTCCACCATAGATCAGATTTAGCAATATCGAAGGGACGGGAAAATAATAACTTTTATTACTAGGGCGTGAGACCCAACAAGTATATACAAGACCAAGGCACCAGCCCAAGAATGGCGACCCAAAATAATAAACAAATAAGATTAAGGACTAGGGAAATTAGTGTTTTACCCGTGCGTTGCACGGATTTTTTTTTTTTGTTATTATGAATTTAAAATTAAAAAATAAAAAGATGTTAAAACGTACAATATATAATATAGTTGGACTTTTATATATTTGGTCAAGTATCTATTTTCATAATATACAAAATTAAAATTAAAATTTTGTATGGTTATTATAAGCTCTAATCATGTACATATTTAGATAAATTTATAGACAAAATTCACATAATTAAGTTGAAGGTTGTCTAACTAGAATATCTAAGGAAATGTCTTATATCGGGGGTGACCTAGACGTGATCTGAATAGTTATTCCTAATTGTATTTCATATATATTATAATTCAAAAAATATGAATAATAACTAAGATAATTATACTTAGAAATTAATAAAAATGTAAATTTTAAATTTTGTATGAGTAAGTTTAAACTCTAATCAGACACATTTTATTATATGATTGTACAATACATTATATATACACATAATATTTATTAATATGCATATAGGAAAATTTTATAATATAATTTCATTAATTATAATTTATATTGATAGATTCATAATTTAAAAAATTACATTTTAAAATTAAAAACTTAACATTTAAATTTTGTATGATTAGTATAGTTCATTAGTGTATATATGTATATATTTACAAAAATTTTAAATATTTATTAACACATATTTTGTTAATTTTATAATTTCATTTCCTTAATTATATTTCATATTTTATTATTTACTCCGTATAATTTAATGAAATTGACACAAATATTACCACGGAAGAAATTTTATATTTCTCAATTTCATTAATTATATTAATAATAATTACCAAATATTGTGACAATTACCATAATAATTTCATTAATTATATTAATTATAATATTTGATTTCTTCCAATATTGAAATATATTATCATAGAATTACCACAATAATTAATGAAATTGAAACAATTTTGAAATATATTAACATAAAATTACCATAGTAATTAAACAAATGAAGGAAATGAAAATTACCAGAATAATTAAAATTAATTAAAATTAGGAAATTATATTAAAAATTAATTATATATTAAGGTAAGTATAATTTATTTTGTGGCAATAATATTATATCTTAAGTATAAATAAATAAATAAATAAATAAATAAATAAATTATACTTACCTTAATATGTGTGTGTGTGTGTGTGTGTGTATGTATGTATATAGATTACCATAAAATTACCATAATAAGTACACTGAAAAAAGTGAAGAGAATTACAATAAATAATTATTAGACAAGAATATTTGTTCATAACTACTTTCTCAACCTACTACTGAAGCATAGAGAGTCAATAGCGCATCTACTGAGGCTTGAACCCACAACCTCCCATGTGGGAGTTCAACTTGGTTGACAAATTATGCCGTGCAACCCTGTGCACCATGCATGGTGCACTCGGTTGCAAAACGACGTCGTTTTGATTAAAATGACGCCGTCCGACTTTTTTTTTTTTTTAAAAAAATCATTTTTGATTGCCGTAACAATGTTATGCTGTGCATAATTTGAACTATATATCCAGAATTAATGAACTATATATCCAGAAATAATGAACTATACATCAAGAATTAATGAACTATATATTCAGAATTAGTGAACTATATATCCACACCGGTTACTGGTACTCTGTTTTGGCTTATGACAGTTCGCTGCGTCTGTGTATTCAGAATGAATGAACTATATATTCAGAATTAATGAAATATAAATTCAGAATTAGTGAACTATATATCCATACTGGTTACTGGTATTCTGTTTTGACTTATGGCAGTTCGCTGCGTCTGTGTAATCAGAATTAATGAAGTATATATCAAGAATTAATGAACTATAAATTCAGAATTAGTGAACTATATATCCAGAATTAATGAACTATATATCTAGAATTAATGAACTATATATTCAGAATTAATGAACAATATATAAAGAATTAATGAACTATACATCCAGAATTAATGAACTATATATTCAAAATTAGTGAACTATATATCCAGGAGAGGAAAGCGCGAAAATGGTGGAAATCCCATCGATTGGAGTTTTAATAAAAAAAATTGATTTGTGGAGTTAAACGGTGCCAGTGTGCCACTAACGGCACC